TGTCTGACAAGAAATACAGGGGATGCAAGTTCAACCAAATGCCTCACCACCTCCCTACCTTCCACGCTAGTTCAACTAAAATTACAAACACGTCTTTGGTCGGATGTAACTTTGTAAGAATCGGCACCCTGTGACACCTTGTGTAACTTGCACTGTAAAGGACATAATGGAATTTATGTCTCCGCTGCAACCGGAACACCTCAACCATTATTCATAAATCGGGCCGAAAATTTGTGATTGTAGCCGTTGCACAAACTACAAGAAAGTCCTCGGAGAGAATCGTCCATAGGGGTTTCCGCTTGACTTTAGCGCACTTCAGTGCAGTAAAGTTGGAAACGCGTGAATCACATTCCCAAAGACGTGAAAATATGTTTTATAGTTCACTGATACAACATATGCATTTCATTTAATCTTATTTGGTTCATCTTTAGAGAATAAAATTCAAACATTTACAGCTTGTAAAAGACATATACTTTTTAAGCAGACGATTGGAGGGTTGAGGAACTAGACAGAAACATATAAATACAATATAGTACATGTCATATAATACAATTATACTGCATGACCGAGGTTTGTTTGTTTTCAAATATATCTCTCTCGTGTCTCAGAACGCGGAATCAAAGTCTTTACGCAATTTTAATGGTATGCACTTGTGAACGTTTCAATCTTTTTTCAGATTTAATGTCATGAAACGTAAGATATGCAAACATATAAATTAATACCATGGTTCCGGTACGTGAAATGGAGAGGTTCAAATTTCAAACTAATTATGTAATTAATTACCGAAGGATTTAAAGGAACCAGGCCCTGCTTGTTACGTAAATACTAGTCCATTTATATTATATCAACAACAAATAGTAACTGTTGTCAATGATAAAAAAACGAGAAAAAGCGAGATTTCGTTTCGATTGCACTGTTTCAAAGAGACATTTTATATACTCGCAGAAATTATCCTTAAAATAAACGGCTGTGGTAACTTTTTTCTCTTTTCTAATAATATACTTTCGATGGAGGAAGTCTATTAAAATGCCCTACAAAGATATCAAGCAAATTACCAAGTGCACGAGAGTTTATCTTTAGCACGAGCAATTAATATAACACCGCACCGGGAGAGAGAACGCTTATCAGTTTTATGCTTTCCCGATTCTGCTACTGTCATATGAAAATAAAACATCCCAACTGCTGTTAAAGATATCAGACTGATAAAAACCCAAGTAAAACATAAAACAAGCAATCTGGAAAACTGTTTTATGCAAGTATATTGGCACCAATGACGTCACGAGGCACGTGATGCCTGCTGTGCAAAGGCAATCGAAAATCCAAATGTTTAGTCTCCAAGTATTTATTGGGCTAATCATTTGTTTACTATCAAGTGTAGTTTTCAGTATAACACAATATCTAGAAATCATTATAAGAAAAGCATCCTAACATCTGTTTTGATACCAAGAAATTCTTTCCACTTTATGAGTTTTTGAAAGGGGATGAAAAGCCAAAAACCTTTTTCTAATTTCTTTTTAACGAGAGTGAAGATTTCTGGAATCTTTGAGCCCTACAGAAATTCATTATCTGATACCGACAATAAAAATATACAAATTCTTAAAATAAACCAGAAATACAATTTAAAGTATATTTGACCGTTTTCACTGTCAGTAATTTGAAATCAAATTTGTAAATAGACGATTTAACTTTCCTTTACGTTGGTACAATGAAACCATTCAAAGGAGCGCGTTAGCATTCTCAGCATAAATGTATCTTGCTCTTTATAGAAAGCATAACACAAGTTAATAAGGAGAGCACCGGGGTCATTTGTTAGATCCTTGACAAGGCATAAGTTCTCCGTAACAATCTATTTCGGACATTGTGTCAAATGGTCCATTGTTCCTCACCGCTGATTTAGAAATTCAGAAATCATGTTTGCTTAGTAATCGCTCACTTGCGGAGAATTTCGAAATTATACTGGGTAGTTATTCAGGAAAGCCAGTTTAAGGGGATATGACCAATAACAAATCGGCGTAAAAACGACATAAAACAAACTAACAAACAGCCTGTTGTCTTAAATTAATAAAAACTCGCTATATTATCCTGGAAAACAACAACAACAAAAACAACAACAAAATTCTTGTCCAGTGTGTGAACGCTTTCTTTCTATGCTTGTAAGTATGGAAACTGTAACGAAATTGGCTGAATACCTACGAAGTTTTGATGAATTGTATGCTTTTAATGAAGATGAAGATTTATAAAGATTGAAACAACCTAGTGTTGTGTACAATGTCTTTGTCCAATCCCTTGAAGTCTTTGGATCTTTTTTCCTGATACAAACGTCCGCGTCTTTTGCGAGTCTCTCAAAGAGCACAGAACGATGAACAACCTATGTGTTCCAGGACTTGTTTATATATTCTTTTCTTTTTATTACTGTATATTGATCAGTTTGGATACACACAGCACCTGTTACATACATTATCAAGCAAATGCAATCTTCTTTTTTGATTCTCCTGGTCGATTATAGATGTTAATTGTTTGATACCGTACAGCTGTTGTTTCAATTTGTCATAGGTCTCAATGTTATAACAGTCGATCTGAACGTTTTATGACATCTTATAAAAGAAAAGTTCTTGAACTGTTAATGTTGAAGTAATGTTAATTCGTCCTGTTATAAAGTCGAGCAAACGTGGTTTGATAAAAAGATATCTCTGATATGATGTGAATAATAGACGATCTAATAAAGGTTAGGGGTTGTTGTTTTGTCAAAATCTAATTATATTAGAAGTGTTACGTGCGACGAAAATACTTGAAAAATGCTATAGTTCGGTCCAGCATATTAAAAAAAGGGGAAAAAAACGAAGGCAATATGTTTGGCATATCACATTGGCAATGCCGTGAAGTGAATCTTTTCTATGGTAATTCGAAGAATCGTATTTTTGATACTTACTGTCACCAGCTTTTATTAATATGTGAAAAAGGAAGCGTTATCTTAATTAACACAAAGAAAGTCAGAAATGGTGCAACTTGAATTGCAACGTACCCAGCCACAAACAAATACATAATATTCATAAGGGACCCTTGTGAATATTATGTATTTGTTTGTGAAAACACTCAAACTTACTTATCCCTTGGACCACTTATACCTTAGTTATTAACATTTTGTTATGAAAATATGTTTAATTCTCAAATCTTGAGACACAATGGGGGATTACTAGAAAAAATGCCTATCAAATATTTGAAAGACCATGTAGAAACATATAGATAGTGCTAACACTGTATTTTATGGCTGCTGATTTGGAACGGCGCGTTGTCGGACTTTCGCCTTGTCGTCATGTCGCTAACGATGCACGCCAAACGGCGCGTTGGGTCGTGGCGGCGAAGGGGGTCGAGCGATGTCAATTAACCACCTTGGTTCAAATTCAAAGGATTGGCTTTTAATAAAGCCAATGAAAGGACGACATCAGCGGAACAAAACGCGCCGGGTTTGGCGTGCTTCGAACGACTAGAAGACAAGGACGACAAGAACGACAGCGAAACAAACCAGCGGCCGTTTCCGTTTTGTCGTGATCACGCTAGCGACAAGACGAAAAGTCGATAACGATATAAATTGTATTGTCGCTAACGACAAGGCAACGCGCAGTGTACCATAGCATTTAGGCGTCTGATATTTATCATAAACTAATAAAGGGAAGCAACTTCAAGAAAAAAAGAGATTACAGTGTATCGTTTGTTACTTCCCATAGACTGCAAAAAACGCAACAGTTTTTCCAAAATAACTTTATTTGAACCTATTTAGATCAATTATAAGATTTAAAATCATATTACATACTTTGGACTTAAAAACAGGTTACATTATCCATTAAAAATACAATGAAAGTGAAAAAAATGCATTTTTCTGACAGCGTTAAATTGGTCCGGTCGCTTCCGGTCTCCGGTCTCTCCCGGTCTATTTTGACCGGAATTTACGAGAGACCGGCGAATAGCATCATATTTACTGGCCCGGTCAGTGCCGGTCTTCTAAAAATTATCGATCTTTCTAGATGAAAAATGTGTTGATATAAGCTATTTTTTCGTATATAATGTATTTCGTTTCAAATTATTTGTTTTTAATTATGTTTTTTTGTTGTTGTTACTAATTTTATAATTTAATCAAATATATAAATGAATTAAGTACGGGGAATGGCATTAATGCAACAGTCATCTTTTTTTTTAATTATAACATTTTAATTTATAATTATAATTGTTACTTTTTTATGTTCATCAATGTAATATCGTGATTATCAATGGCATTTTTTTTAATGCGTTTATTTAAGGTCGCCGCCGGAAAGCCCATATGGGCGACCTAGTCCAACTAATTGTACTGCGCGACGAGATATTGTGCTATTTTCGTGTCTGGGCAATAAAAGCGAGATTCTGCCCCAGAACGAAAATATCTCAGAATCAAGCTTTGGCACGTCAATATATTTTGACTAATGGGCGACCGTACACTCAAGTCGGGCCATCCTAGAGCGTCCCGCCGAGATTTTTTCGTCGATTTTTTTCCAGCTTTATTGGTGGAGGAAGACCCCAGGTGCCCCTTCGGGCATTATTTCAGGCACGAGCGGGCACCTGGGTAGAACCACCGACCTTCCGTAAGCCAGCTTCTATTCTTAAACCATTTATTTTACTTAAAAAAAATAATCACTTAAATAATTCATAAATCCAATTTGAAACTTAGAATCTCTTAACTAAACGCTAATAACAAATTAAATAAAATGTTTCAAAGTTGATTGTGTCAAAATGTACCTTTTTTAAAATGAACAGTGCTTTTGTTATTTTTAGAACTGAAAGTTTTGTATGATAATAATTATAATAGATAAATAAATAAATTTGAGAGATGATCTGTGTTAATTCATTATTGTAACCAAACTAAGTGAAAACATTTAATTTGGGAAAAAATAACGGCCAAGGGAGGTAATCACTGTGAGGAGTTTGTTAAATAAGGACTCCGGAGTAACGCCCCTTAGTTTTTCTCCGCCATTTGTATCAAGGAAGGTGAGGTTGTTAAGTGTTCTATGAAACGCGGATAAATAACTCTTTATATTGGTATACACAAAGGTTGGTGACTTGTTTTTTCTTTCTTTGTATGTATGGACATATTTATCAGTTGATTCACTGTTTGTGTCGATACATTAGACTTAGAGAAAATTGTTTATTGGAAATATAGTGCAGTAAGTTCACATGTGGGATGATCAGATGATGACATCATTGATGTGTTTGATTGTGTCAAATCACAGTACTTGCACAATGGTCTTTGAAATCTATTTTTGAAACAATTTTGTTTTTAATTGGCACAGCATCATATAGCTAATTTAATTTATCACTGTTTCATTGTGATATTTTTTTTATTTTAACCACAACAGCTGCACGAACAGCACAAGGCGTATGAACACGGCTGTAGTTAAAGGTGTGGTATGAAGGAGTGTAGAATTTGTTGCTGATGACGTAGCTTTTGGAGAAAACATTACCATTCAATGCTACATAAACTATGCATAGTAGTCAAATTAATATAGCAGCTCTAGGTATTTTTATATCATCAGTTCCTCTAAGAGCCCCTAATATACATGTTCATGTAGAACATTGTTATAATTGTGATCATTTCATTCTCTTTCCTTACAGTCCAGCCCAATTATTGGTTACCGTTACCACACGTAAGGAAGATTAAAGGGGCCTTGTACCATAGCAGCTATTAGCTGGACTGTGGAAATATTATGTCCAAAGACTGGGTCATATGGTGCTTTAATAGAGGCAGAAATTATGGAGGTTTACTTCTTTGCAATGATAATGTCTTATAGATTAGTCAATCACTTTGACATTTAAAGGTTGACTCTGTGAACTTTTTTGTTCTGAATCTTGTACAGGGGAGATAATGCCTTATACTTAAAATGGCTCAACTTCTCCACTTGTAATCTAGTGTACGTATTCTGAGTTATATTTATTTTGGGCTAGAGTCTTTATCTAAGGTAGGGTGAGTGTAATAGATGACAAGTGTCCTGTTAATGAACATGTTTATGACGTCACTTTATTGCGGTAAATGCCAATGCATAAAATAACAATAAATCTCCGCATTAAACATCAGCTTTGTTCAGTGCACACTCAGGCACTGCAATATTGGTGAGATTTTTGGTGTGCGGAAATCATATACATGTATCTCTGAATTTATCAGCTTGAGGAAAAATGCAATGTAAAGAGCTTCTGAAGATACTTGATACTGTATATTGTTTCATTCTAGTGGTTATCTAGTTTCCAAGATTTGTATTGGATTTCAACACATTTAAATCTTCTTGAAGACTTGTGGGATACTGTAATAAAAAGAGCTTAGATTTTCGGTATACATGTAAAGGACCTCTACAAAGTATATATATAAATGCCTCGTGGTTAATATTGCTGCCACTAAATGTTTACTAAAGAAACTTAAATACAAAAATTTAACACATTTCTACATGGCCCCGAGCTGCACTGTAACACACAATGTATTTAGCATGATGCATTTCCTAGTAGATCTCTACAAAAGTTATATGAATCATACATAGCCATTGTTTTATAATTACTTATAATTGTTATCTTAGTAATTGACTTAGAGCATGTTAGATACAAGCAGCTTTGAATGTTAAATATTGGGTCATAGAAATATTGCGTCATAGAAGCAACAAGTAAACAAATTGTTATTTTGTCTTCCATACAAAGTACTTAATCTTTATAACTTTAGTTATGGCTAAAAAGCAAAGAATGGGTCAGATTTATGGCCAGTGAGTGGAGGAATAAAAGTATCTAACTGTTTTGGAAACTGTAACAGAACACTTAAGAAAAAGCCTTTGTGAAATAAAAGTGACACTCGGCACTTTTAATGAATCTTTCAGAATCTTTTCCCTACAAAGTACATACTACTTTGTACATGCCTTTTTAGATATTTCGTGTTACATGACTTTGTTGACCTTTATAAACATATAAATTACCCATAGGGTTAAACAGACCCCCAAAGCCCACTCCAATCCCTAAACCCCGCCCCCCTGCCCAATTATTTGTTTGGAAATGTCTAATTCTGATCAGAAACAGACCTGAGTACAAACTTAATAAAGACTTATATTTCTTAAATTAAGTTCACTCCAATGGAAATACCTTCAAGTTAAATTTAAAATTAAAGATCTTACTAGATTTTTGTAATAATAAAAGAACATGGCTGTATTCAGGTTATAAGTATGTGTGACCTTGGTAGAAGGAAGTGTAATTCTTTTTTATTTTCCTTAGCTGATTTAAACTGTTATATTCATTACAACCTTAAAAACACAAGTGTAATGAAACATTGTTAAATGGTGTCTTACACGTTAATGTATGATTAAATCTAGGTCATATGTCTGAAAAAAAACATTGTATGAATGAGGTACATGTAAATAAACTAGCCATTCAAAATGGGAAAAAAATGCTATACTGACTCTGTCATAAGTTAAATACTACACTCCATTGTGTGTATAAAACAGGCTAGCCAGTGTTTTTTAAAAGGTTTATACATGATGATATAATATAACTGGAATTGAATCAAGAATCGGTACTTGTAACTTTTGTCCTAAATAAAGTTTACGGTAGTTAACTAGATAAAGGTTGACTGTTAAAAGTTTTTTTTTTTTTTACTATATAACTTTTTAAAGTTGCACACAATTAGATACATTGTAATTAATTGTAAAAAAAATAATTAAAAAAAATAATTAAACTTAAAAAGACATATGATTGTATGAATAGTTTCAGAGACAAATAATTCACAGTTCAGGTGAACCTTTGTTTTGTGCAAAATGTGACAGAATTTTTTATTTTTATCACAATTCTACCCTTCCTCTAATAGAGTAAGAAAAAGTCATGCACATTTGGTATTTCCGTGAAAAATCAGAAAATTTGTACAAAATTTCTACTCATAAGAAGAATTTTTGAGTTTTCATGATTTTTTATTTTTGAAATTTTGTTTGTGGTCGGGGTCAAAATTTGTAAGAATTTCAGGTTACCATCCTTTCATTTATGTGTCAAGTGCTAAGAATGATTAATTAAATGATTATTTGTAAGAGGTTTACTGAGAAAATACAAAATATGCTGATATTCTCCATTAGTCATAGTTTTCATTTTTCAGCACCTATATTTTATAATTTTATTGAGTTAAATAAAAAATACTGCCTACGTACTACCTAGGGGTCAAGCTGAGGACAGGTACTTGTATAAGTAAATTTTAGTCAAAGGTTACAAAGTCTTGACTACTTATATGTTTTATATGTGCTTGTTGTAATTGAATATGGAAATTGTAATTGAAATTGAAAATTGGTTATGCTTGTATGAAATCATTCCTAATAAAAGTAATATATTTATATTGTAGATTCATTGGAGGATGGAGCTGATGATAAGATGGGTTATTTAGATGAATAAAAAAAGTGGAAGATTACATGACAAGTATTGCTCAAAGGATTCAGTATGTGAACCAAAAACGTTTTTTGTATAACTCGACTCATTTTGTAAATATCTCGTCAAGGATATTCATAAAGAAGTCGTGAACTTCATATTATTCAGATAGAATGGCGTATTTGTTGGTTTGTGTTAAAACAGAAGATACAATCTATGACCGGGCAGTGTTTAGCAAAGACCTTGCCCCAGTAAAGTTTGACAAATCTGAGGTGGGTATTGCCTTACGACATGACCCGTGTACAAATTCCGCTCAATATTTTGTGATACACAGACATACACATCACGGGAAAGTAACGCAGAAACAGAATTCAGTTAAAAACATTGAAAATGGAAATCAGACAGGAAGTGGAACCAGTCTGGAAAATAAGCCAAAGACGGGAAACAGTCAAATTTGCTCTTGTAATGGTTTGAACATGGAATGTTCTTGCCAGTCCTGCGATAACAACAAAATTGCTCCTAATTTTTCACTTGTGCTTTTAGATACTGAGTATAAAATAGTGACTAAACTGAAGTCAGATGTGGCTTATGAGAGCTTTCAAGAGATGTCACAATCCAAGGTATTCAGGGAGGGATTTATTAACTTTATGAGAAAGAATAACAAGTTAAGAGATGTGAGAAGAAAGCATTGTTCCTGTGAAAGCGTTTTATCAGCGTGTGAGCTCAGTATAAGACTGCCATGGCTGTTGGAAGTATGCCTAGAACCAGCCATCTCTCATGTATGCTATGCTTGGTAAGTTGAAATAAAGAGAAAATACATGTATATGTTTGTTTGGTATTAAGGTATAGTATTCTTGAGGATTTTTATAGATAAGTCTAAGAAGTAAATTGTTGGCTTCAAAACACTTGCCTCTAACCACTGTAGGTTCATGCCGCGTAATCATCTTTGAGTTCTATCATGTGAGAAAGCTATTTACTAGCTAGCTTACAGAAAGTTGGTGGTTCTACTCAGGTACCTGTTTATGCCTGAAATAATGCAAAAAAGAGGTACCTGAGGTCTTCCTCCACCAGTAAAGCTGGGAAGTCACCACATGACCTATATTGTGTAAGTGCAACCTAAATGCATGTATAACAGAAATTAATTAGGATAAAAACAAGGTTCTATAATTTTATGTACATCCTAAATTAATTTCAGCACATAACTCTAAATAAATAAATTTTAGAATGTTGTTTGAGAAAATAGAACATTTTCTGATAACCAACTCCCTTTTATTTAGCTTGACTATGTTAGGGACTGTGGTGTTATCATATCCACACAGTTGTGGGCATTGGCATAACCCTTATTATGTACGTTCATAATTTAGTATATCTTTTAAATTCAGGTATGTATGTATTCTAGGCTTAATGAAGGTATATATACGCTTTCAGGAGAGTACGGACCCTGTAAAATTTAGGTATGAAACTTAGACTGTTTATATATTTTGACAGGAATGAAAAGGTTGGAGGTTTAGTACAGAAACGCATGGTTCTAGAGGAAACTATGGCATGGTTTGGGGCCCACCCTCGGGAAAGGGGGGTCCTTACTTTGGGGATTATTTTCAACATTTTTTAAGTAAAAGGATATAGGTGGGGTCCTAAAAAAAAAATAAAAAAGTTTTAAAAAAATTAAAAAAGAAAATTAAAAAAATTTTAAAAGTGGGAAATTTTAGAAAATAAAAAAAAGTTTTTTCAACCAATCTTTAACCGTAAGCCTGCTGGCGGCCACTAAATCTACCCATGTGACCGGTTCAAACATACAAATGAGCCACGTCACGACAAAACCAACATAGTGTGTTTGCGACCAGCATGGATCCAGACCAGCCTGCGCGTCCGCACAGTCTGATCAGGATCCATGCTGTTCGCTGACCAACTCTATTACAAGTAGAGAAACTGATAGTGAACAGCATGGATCCCGATCAGACTGCGCAGGCTGGTCTGGATCCATGCTGGTCGCAAACATACTATGTTGGTTTTGTCATGATGCGGTTCAGACATAGTTTAGCCAGCATATCAATGTTGTCAGATCATGGTCTGCACTGTTTGTTATGTGTGAGTATTTGAGTTTATTTATACTCACCATCAGTTGCCCATATGGGCAGGTCCTCCAGAAGAGTATTAAGTATTAGTCATTTTAGATTTTGGAGGATAGTGCAAGATACAGAAAGATGCTCCAATTCCAGTAGCTTCTCCTGGTTCTTTTACGCGCCAAGTGTTTTAGCAATCATATACAAGACTTCGATTTAAAGTCTCATGACATCTGAAAGACTGTTAAGTAATTTAAGTTGGCCAGCCCGGGAATAGAACCCACAGTTTTGAGATTACAAGTCTCACGCTCTAATCGATTGAGCTATGTGAGCTGGCAACCATTTGTTAGTCAGGCTTTACATACATTTATTATTGAATGGTTTTGTCCAGATTGAAATATGGACAAAGTTATTTCAGAATGAGATATTTAGTGTAATAAAAGTTAATGCATTATTTCTACTCTTTATTATGCAACACATAATTTGATTGTCTGCAATAACTTGATTTTTGTGCCCCCATGTTAGTGGTGGGCATTTAGATTTACCCTTGTCCGTCTGTCTGTCCGCACTCACAGGACAGTAATTATGTGGCTAGAGGGATAATAGGTAACTGTTCTTTCTCTTTGATGTCATTCATTCCGTAATGCTTTTATGTGGCTATTTTCTTTTGTGTGGCTAAAATGAACAATAGAGAGAACAATAGAGTAGCCACATAATTACTGTCCTGTGAGAACGTCCGTCCGTCCTTCAGTCTGTCCGTTCACTTTTGTGTCGCACGTAACTCAAAAAGTATTTGACCTAGAGACATGAAACTTTACAGGAATGTTGATCAGTATGTGTAGTTGTGCACCTGGGTATTTTCGTCTGGATATTTTTAGTATTTTCAGAGTTATTGCCCTTGACTAAGTAAAATTTTGCAATTTTCAACTTGTGTCGCATGTAACTCAAAAAGTATTTGAGCTAGAGTCATGAAACTTTACAGGAATGTTGATCAGCATGTGTTGTTGTGCACCTGGGTATTTTCGTCTGGATATTTTTAGTATTTTCAGAGTTATTGCCCTTGACTTAGTAAAATTTTGCAATTTTCAACTTGTGTCGCATGTAATTCAAAAAGTATTTGACCTAGAGTCATGAAACTTTACAGGAATGTTGATCAGTATGTGTAGTTGTGCACCTGGGTATTTTCGTGTGGATATTTATAGTATTTTTAGAGTTAATGCCCTTGACTTAGTAAAATTTTGCAATTTTCAACTTGTGTCGCACCTAACTCAAAAAGTATTTGACCTAGAGTCATGAAACTTTACAGGAATGTTGATCAGCATGTGTAGTTGTGCACCTGGGTATTTTCGTGTGGATATTTTTAGTATTTTCAGAGTTATTTCCCTTGACTTAGTAAAATTTTGCAATTTTCAACTTGTGTCGCATGTAACTCAAAAAGTATTTGACCTAGAGTCATGTTACTTTACAGGAATATTGATCAGCATGTGCAGTTGTGCACCAGGTATTTTCGTCTGGATTTAGTATTTTTAGAGTAATTGCTATTCACTTAGAAAATTTTTGCAATTTTCAACTTGTGTCGCAAGTTACTCAAAAAGGATTTGACATAGTCATTAAACCTTATGGGCAGGTTGCTCAGCATATTTAGATTTGCACCTTGGGTTTCGCTTGTGGACTTATCCAGTATTTGTAGAGTTATTTCCCTTGACTTAGTAAAAAGATTGACAGAACAGTGGCGCGGTGGGGGCACCCGTGTCCTATGGACACATTTCTAGTTACATAAAGGTTGCCATTAATATAAATGTTAAGTATAGGCTGAATATTTCTGCATTTTGAAAATTCCCTGGAGTATAATGTTATTAATTTTCAATAGCTAAAGATAATTTTATAATTTTTTTGCAACTTCAAAAAATCTGTACATTAGTATAATTTGTTTATACACTTATGTCACACTTAAAATAAACCTACAATGAACTTGATCTAATTATCGTTTAAAAGTATAATCGTGACAGGAAAGAAAATTCTCATTTAAAAAGAAAACAACTTTTGTTTATCTACTTTCTTATTTGTTTATACAATATAATTATTAATATAAATGTGAAACTTTAATCATTTACATGTATATGCTATCAACAATACCAATATAGAGTCAGGCCAGCCTTTCATCAGTGCATTGTGACTAAACTCTAGCCTGTTTGCTATTTTTATACGCTCGTTTGAAAAATTAGTCATATTGTAGTTTTTGTCTGGAGCATATCTCTGAAAGGCATGGAGGAATTTTAATGAAACTTCATAGAAATGTTAACCACTATGAGAAGATGTGTCAAGCACATGAACCAGGTCAAAGGTCAAGGTCACACTTAGAGGTCATCGAAAAACACTTGTCCAGAGCAAATCTTCCACATACATAGAGTGATTTCTATATAACTTGGCATAACGTCAAGATCACACACACGGGTCAAAGTTCAGATAAAAATATGAAAATGTGTATTTGGATCATTTAGCACTCATTTTTTGAGGGATTGAAACACAAATGGTCATTATCTTGACTACGGGGGTGAAGCCTGTAATTTTAGGTTAATATATGCAGGGTCAAGGTCACTAAAGATGATAAAATATAGAGATTTTGTCCAGAGCATATCTCTTATACACATGGTAGGATTCAAATGAAACTTAATAGAAATGTTCACCACTATGAGAAGAAGTGTCATGCACATATTCCAGGTCCCTGCTGCCAGAGTCAAGGTCACATAGAGAGGTCAAAGTTTGTGTACGGGGACCATTTAGTCATCATTGATTGATAGATTGTATCACAAATGATTACTATCATGACTACATGTGTAACACATGCAATTTAGGTAAATATCTGCAAGCTCACTAGACATGATAAAATATCCAGATATTGTCCGGATTTTGTCCAGAGCATAATTATCTCCTATATGCATATCTATAATGGCCACATCTCTGTCAAACCTCCTTGAGACAGGCATATTTTGCGACATTGTTGCCCCTGTTGATGTTGAAATCCCTCAACCCTTTTCCTGCAAAGTGGCCTCCGTGGCTGAGTGGCAAAGGTCACTTCTTGCACATTTGCCTTTCACTGTTTTCATGCCAGGGATTTTGTATTATTGTGAGGAAGCTATCAAGCTAGCTAATTGTAGGTTGGTGTTTCTACTCTGGTTACAGCTCATGCCTGAATCAATGCAAGGATGGGGAATTGAGGTCTTCCTCCACTAGTAATGCTGGAAAGTTGCCATTTGACCTTTACTGTGTCAATGTGATTGAAAATCCAACAACACAAACAAATAAACTGCTAGCAGCAACTGAATATCCATGCAAGCAGTGCAGATTAAAATCTGCCAGTGCTGACTGATCATGGTCTGCACTGGTCAGTATTCAGCCATAGTCTGGAAATTTTTCCTACAATTGATGAATGGTTTGTCCACTTGATTGAATGGACAAGTTAATTAAATGTAGAGTGGTAAGGATTCACAGCAAAAGCACAGTTTTGTGAGCCATTTTTACATGTCTAATCATTAATGTAAAGAAATACACTTTTTTATTCACTGACAACAAATAAGACATGTGACCACTATTATATTGTAGTCAGAGGAGGCAGGAAGAATATCTGTAACACAGTTGAGAATCGCCATGGAGATGGGAGATCCTATAATGGCATCAAAATGTCGACTTTTCTATGCTTTAAGTTTGATGCAAAGGGGACCACTGTCATACAGCAAGAAATTAATCAGGTATTTTTATTATTTATTTTAAGTTATTAATTATAAAGGCTATTGTAAGGTATATTTATAAATCATGGGGGCGTACTTGACAGAATTAAGAATTAATATGTCTCCAGAAGTGATTTTATCGCTAGATAAAATCACTGTTTGGAGTTCAGATGCTACGCCCTGCACATCCGAATGACAAACATTGATTTTATCAAGCAGTAAAATCACTGCTTGGGATATATTATTTTGATTCTAACACATCAACAAATAAATGCTGCTGTACCTGATATCAAGCTTAATTGCGCCTGATTTGTTTCCCCTACTTATTTTCAGTGCGTTGTTGTGACTGAAAATCTAAACATTGCTAGGGATAATCATGTACAAAGTTTTAAAGTAAACTAGTTGTCAAGTTTAATATTTATCAGACCATCAAATGATCCTTGTTGACAGAAATTTGTTTACATGGTATTACAATAAATTGTATATTTCCTAAAATCAAAGCAAGCTGTGTTCGGAAAACATTTATATACTCACAAAGTTTATAGGTATAAAGGTGCTGTGACATTCAGGTTAGCAGACAAGGGCTGTTTCTCCTCTCTCTAAAGTTCTACAATACAGTGTAACTTCTGAAAACCGAACACCCATGGGACTTGTCAAAAAGTTCGGATTTCAGAGGTTTCCGGAATTCAGAGGTTTCGGATAATGTGGACAAGACTAAGCCACTAAATGTCACTAAATGTCAAGGAAAATGTGGCCATTACTGTAATATATAAAATAGTCTTTTAATCAAAATAAAGATAAGAAGGGAAAGAAAACATTTATATTTAACACTTTATTTAATACTGCAAATGCCTTTGAATTTCTGTCAGTTTGTAGAAATATTGTTAATTGCATAAACTTACATGTTGTCCGATGCTAGTTAATTAATTAGTGCATCAAATTCAATAAAATCCCTAAAGACTTTTGATGCATACATTGTCCCAACTAGTCATTTAATCCGCTAATAAACACTTCAAATGAACTGACCGCCGTAAATTACTTTCATTAACCGCATCACTTCAAACATGCCATTTCACAGTTTGTGATTTTAACGTGTGTCAAATTACACGATTACCGCTAATTGGTAAACAATCGATAGGGAGATTAAATATTCCTGCAGGGTAAACATTCTCGATTTACAATGTATTTCACACCTTTGGATATTTCCGGATTTTGGAGGTAAAATTGCATTGATTTGACTCTAATTTTACGAAAATATCGTCCGGAATTCAGAATTTAGAAGTTCCGGAATTCAGAAGTATTATATTAATAGAAAATAGAAGGAAAAAAATCGGGACCGAAAAAATTGTTCGGTTTTTAGAAGTTTCCGGATTTCAGAAGTTCCGGAATTCGGAAGTTACACTGTATTAGGTTATAAGGGGAGTAAAATTTCGAACCTGATAATTTTTACAAATATTTATGATCTAGTTCCTATGTTGTCTTTTATGTGTTTGCATTTAATTAATTCAAACATGTGATGGATCTTACTTTAATATCTAAAGAAAATGTATGTTTGTAACATTTCTTTTCATTGGATAATCTTGAGGTTTATATATAAACTACGTATTACACGGCTGCTGTCAATTTATTAAGTAATTTCTTGTCTTTATTTTTTTCTCAAATAAAAGGCAGTTTGCTGTATATTAATTTTGTTTTTAAAGATTCTTGACAGGTTATATGGTCTTATATAAACATTTGTTTGCAATACATGTATAATCTTCGCCTAGCTGTTTGGGTTATATATGTAAATAACTGTTTATATAGGCCATATAAACTGTCAATTATCTTTATGGACTGTCTGGTTAGCTCAATAGCATAGGACTGCGAATCGAGTGATCCGGTACCAATTCCCGAACGGCTGCAGGTCACTTTCGTTGTGATTTATCATGAAATCTTCTCGTAAGTCATTTGCACTGTACCTCTGTTCTGACATATTCAGAAGTTATCAGTTCCTTGCAAAAGTGTAGGCAAATAGTAAACTACCCAGCAGCCTGCCCAGGAACGATGCGGTAGCTGAACTGTGCTTTGATAAATTTAATGTAGCCTACTGCCGTGATCTGTTGTGAAAAGTACTTCAAAATAATTTTTGTAACTAAGAGTAAAATATATACAATATATACATATTATGATTGTAGTATTTCATATTTTTTTCAGAATTTGAAAACACTCATTCACTTGTTACTATTTTAGGGATGAATATCACTTTGCAACACATTTTAAAGTGCGGGATCAAAGACTTATTGACATGTGTCGGGGGATGTGGAGCAAACTACGTTACATGTATACAAGAAAGCAAAGAAGAAGGCTTGAATCAATATCATGCGAGGAATCTGCCACCTCGACGTCAGGTGACCATAGCGATCATGACGATCATAATAATCAGGACTTTTGTACTCTTCAAAATGAAGAGTATTCAAATCTCCAGGATGTACAGGAACTGCATATATATACACAACGATTTAAAGAAAAGTTTGGTTCCATTACTGGTAATGATTCTCAAACTTATCCAAATAATGGGGAGCCAATCGCAACGTCAAGATCAGGTTGCTATGACAACACGGATACTTCTATATGTAGTGAAATAGGAAGTTGATATCTCCCAAGACTAGATAATATATATATATACATGTATGTAAAACAATCATGTTTGTGCTGTTATTTATGTATTACTAATTTATCTATACGTTTGCTGGTAGGAAGCTATAATTTTATTTTGTTGAAGTGTGTGTTTTTTTTGTGAGATTACATTATTTCAAAATTTGTTTTGTTAAGAAAAAAAGCACTTTTATGCTCTTAGAGATTGTGTGATATTATCAGATCATATTTCCTTCAGAAATACTCTTGTCATATTTTTTGTTTAATTTCTAAAAAAATCAGGTACTAGTATTCCATTTTTGTGTGTTACTTAACAAAGAGAGTATCCTGATGAAACTCATGTTTAAACTAACAATTTGTTATAGAATATTGAACAGTGGTGTAGCTATCTGTTGGCTGTGTCTTTGCCTTCACTTTCTGGCCAGGAAAGTGAATAAAATCATTTACTTCTCTTTCTGCAATATCTTAACAATCCACTGAACATATTTTATATAGGCCAAAATAACATCAGACAATCTCAGTGTGAAAAAAATTGTAGAGGGGGCATCCCCAACCCAGATACCCCCACTCCCTCTTTCAAGACTTAGACGTACACATAATTTTAATCAAAGCTAAATCCCTGAGGATTGCTTCTAGCTTAGTTAACTTGAATTTAAGGAAGCTCTGTTTAAGCTTCAATTCAAATTTAAACCTTTCATCTTTTTGAAATCTCTATCCAGTCCACTTCGTTGATACACTAGACATGTAGAGAAGTCTTTCAATAACCCTGTTTCGGAAGTACATGTATTTAAATGAGATGTATTTTCAAGATTCTACTTAGAAATAAGTTTAATAACATTAAATTACTGAAAATATTCTGATGAATATTGACCTGTCGATCAATGAAAACATCTAGTCCACCTTACTGCAGTATGTTGTTTCTTCTGCTGTGTTTTCTCTAATTTTCATCTATTATTTATTTCTGTCTTAATTTAACTGACGTCAAGATTTAAGTTACACCAGTATAGCAATGTGTTAATTTAACTGATGTCAAGGTTTAAGTTACACCAGTATAGCAATGTGTTAATTTAACTGACGTCAAGATTTAAGTTACACCAGTATAGCAATGTGTTATATCACATTCAATGTATATGCCAGTATTTCAACAAACAGTTGATGTATACACACAATGTGTGAAATCATATGCGTCCAATTGACTCATGTATAAGGTCGGATCAATTATAAGACGGGTCTAATTTTACATTAAATATCACAAAACATGTATTTAGCTTTAACATATTGCCATTCAGGATGTGTTTATTTTGTGCTATGTTTGTGTATTTACAAATTTTGGGTTAATACTCACTGAATGTCTTGATAGTGATAATTGAATACTTTTCCACTGTGCATTCCTGATATACATGTACATTGCATTATAACGAATGGATGGGCATTTCTTGTGGACCTTCCTTGTGTTCACAATATTATACAAATTGACTGCTTGGTTATCCAGTTGCTACACTAGGATAATACATAGTCACTGGTTGATTTTGGTTAACATGAAAGAACAAAATGGTTTTGTTTGTGATACTGTTATTGATAGTTGACTAAGCAACATAGTTTTACTTGGGGACCATATGCTGCTTTTCATGGAATGGCACCAAAGTGTCACATTGAAGGTTCCATGATAACCGCCTTTTGAAAACATATGCAGATGTTTCTAAATTCAAAATTTCACCAATACCATGATTAAATTTTGAATTTTGCTTAAGCCGGTGCCAGGGGGCATGGACATGAACTTGCACTTTCCATTACCGATGAATAAGCCCAATCAAAGCGAGCCTGCAACATTTTCAATTTTGTCTTTTTGTGCGTTCTTTGAGGATTCTTTATTTCTCTTTATTTTAGCAATGAATTGAAAGGGCGCGGCCATATTTTTCAATGATATGCTAAAAACGGAAAGGTCCATTAGTATGATATTACAATTTTTGTTACCAGGTTAATTTTATAAAAGAAACAATATGTTTGGTATACTTAATTATGTCAATACTATATTGTGTAGGATATAAAATGGGTGCTATTTATATTATGGGATCACCCCTGGCACTTGTTAAAACTTTTAAAGTATACATCGAAAAATTTTAAGTGCCATGTTTATTAATTTATTATAATCCTTTTTTTCTTCTTCACATTTATGTGTCTCAAATGTTACATAGAATAACTAGTATTTTAGTAATTTATGCTATTTAGCTATTTAACATTCGTTTTCAAATGGATTTAAAAAGAATTTTATGGCAGAATTTAAAACAGAATATTTCAAGTTTACAAAACAAAATAAAAATTATAATAGAGTAAACTGTTTTTGTTTTTTTATTATTTATTTTATAACATAACAAAGGGAAGTAAGACATGTAAAACATAACTTTCTGACACTTTTAAATTTATAAACTCCCCTTATATAATAATGTAGTCTTAAATAAACAAGGCCAAATTGTAGATTAAGCTTCAGAAATTAAGACATTCCTTCTGTGAAAAGGGCAAACATGTTTTCCATTTTGTATTTTGTAAATGTAAAAATGGATTTAGAAATAATCATCATCTGAAGAAAATAGCACCGAATGAAAATGAATTTTAATACAGCAATATGTAAACAAATTGGTATCTGACTTCTAAGTTTAGTACTAAATCACTATTACTGTACACAAAAGAAGCAAGAATTGGCTCAGGTGGCAAATGGGTAACTGGAAACTGTTACAGGACACTAAAAATAAAGCCATTTTGAAAAATTAAAATAATTGCACTTTTTAGACTTCATGGGCCTTGAAACAACTCTCTGAACAATAAAATTAAAACAAATTTTGAGGTACCTGTACTAAACTAGCCTTTATTTGTTCTTTACATTATACTCAATTTTTTTTTCAACCTTGAAAATTAATCACAATAAAAACATGGTGATATTTTCATTAGGAAAACGTTTTTAGCTCGACTATTCGAAGAATATGAGAGCTATTGTAGTCGCCCCGGCGTCGGCGTCAGCGTCGGCGTCTGCGTTGGTTAAAGTTTTTTGTGAAGTCAAATATCTCAATTATTACTTGAGATATTCAATTGAAACTTACAATACTTATTTATAGTAACAAGCTACATCAGATTGACAAGTTGGATAACTCTGCCTACAATATTGACAGAATTATGCCCCTTTTTAACTTAGAAATTTTGGTTAAAGTTGTTTGTAAAGTCAAATAATCTCAATTATTACTTGAGATATTCAATTGAAACTTACAATACTTATTTATAGTATATAGCTACATCAGATTGACAAGTTGGATAACTCTGCCTACAATATTGACAGAATTATGCCCCTTTTTAACTTAGAAATTTTGGTTAAAGTTTCTTGTAAAGTAAAATATCTCAAATTATTGCTTGAGATATTCAATTGAAATTTAAAATACTTTTTTATAGTAACAATGTACATCAGTTTGCAAAATTTGCATAACTCTGCCTGCAATTATTTGCAGAATTATTTGCCCTTTAGAATTTTTTAGAGATTTGGTTAAAGGTCTTTTTCAAGATATTTACTTGAAACTTTACACATGCACTAGGGTCATATTGGAGGGTCATAATTGTAGGTCACTGACCAAGTTCCATTAACTCTATCTTGCATTAAGGCTGATTTCATATCCCCTTTTCTACTTAGTCTCATTGGTTAATGTTTACACGCAAGTTTTACATATCTCAATAACTATTAAAGATATTTATTTAAAACTTCACATATGCATTTAGGGTCATTTAATTGTAGCTCACTGACAAAGATCCATAATTCTATCTTGCATTTAGGCTGATTTTTCTCCCCTTTTTCAACTTAGAAATTCATGGTAAAGTTTTTTTTTGTAAGCTGTTATCTCAATAACTACTGAAGGGTTTGTGCCTTTTTTGGGACAATTTTATGCATTCATAATAATAAAGCAGTTATTTACTTGATAAAACATCTTAATAACAAGCCTTTGCACCTTTTCTGTCAAATTTATGTATTCATAGGTAATTAGTATTATTATACTCAATAAAACACCCTCGTGACATTACCTTCCAAATAGTCAAGCCAATACTGTATAATTAGACTCTCTCTAAGGCCTATAACATGAATTTATAAAAAGAAAATAGCCCTTTGTGAACTTAAAAAATTTAACATTATCAAGGCTCTTTTACTATCAAGCACTTAGAATAGTCGAGCGTGCTGTCCTACCGACAGCTCTTGTTTAATGGTTATATTACTTAGCCTGGTTATATTACCTAGCCTATCAGTTTAAATAGTTGCATGTTCATATACCTGTATTTATAGGCTAGCATTATATGCCAAATAACTGTTTGTGCACAACCATAAGCAAGTCTGTAAAAACTAATTTCAAAGGTATAAAATTGCTTTATTATTTCATTGCTGATTTATAAAAGTGCTCTATTCCTTCCCTTGATTTGAATAAAAATTATTTTAAAATTTGAATCAATTGTTTATATAAATTATCTAAATGTCAAGAATATAAACCCTCTACCTCATATATACGCGAAACAACGCACTTTCGACCCACCCCCCTCTTTTAGGCCTCAAATAGAATAAAATGGCCTGTTTGGGCAGTAAACACATGTTTTCGTTTGAGAAATGTTGATAAAAAACGTGAGCACTTTTTTTGCCAAAAGGTACATCAGGGGGTTGCCAGAAGGGGGATGTGCCCGCTTCTGTTTTGGAGGTTTGAAGGGGGCGGTAGTCCCACTCACATGGGGCTAGTGCAGACCAAGATCAGCTGGCACATCAAAGCTGTCTGATCATGGTCTGCACTGTCCTCTATTAAGCCAGTATTTTCACGATTTTTCCTCTAAATGATAACTGGGATTTAAGATAATCATTTTCAGTCCCAGATAATAAATACTAGTTGACAAATGGTCAAAATTTAATGTTACACCTGGGCATTCGTTATATCTGATGCACTGTTTGCAATTGATTCAGTACTTTTTTTATGAAAGTTTCCCAGTAACAATGATGAATAGTTTTGCCCAGATTGAAAGATGGACAAGTCTGTATAAGATATTGACATTGTGGTAAAGTAAAATGAAAATTAACATCACAAAAGTACAGTATCATCATGTATTATATGAGGTATTAAGTTAGGATGGGTTTCCATCAATGAAACATAGAAACTGTTTATTGTACATACTTTACATAATACTAAAGACTTACTCCATGTTTACTCACAACCTTGTAAAAAGAATACTTTAAAACATGAGCTATGTACATGTATATGTCTAATAAACAACTGATGATCATAAAACAATTTAACATAGAAATTGCTTGCCTTTTTACATAATACTTAAGACTAACTCACAACCTTGTAAAAACGAGATTTTTAACATGAGGTATTTATGTTTATATGTTCAATAAGAAATAAAATTAGACTGGCTTTCTTCCTATCAGTATAAACACTGGCCAATGTACACTTATAGAAGCCCCCTTGTATATGGTTCTGTACCTGAAAGAAAGGACAAAAATAGATAAATATGTTATTCAATATGTAGATAAAGCATTTTAGCAGTTTTATTCACAAGGTTGTAATGATATTTTACTGTTGGCTGGATGGTAACGAAATTGTGAGGAAAAAATATTCAAACTGTCCCTCAAACTTATATACAGTATTTAATGAATGTCATTGTATACAGTATAATTATCAAGCTCAAATTAAAAGAATCAGTTTAAAATAAGTTTCTACAATTTACACAAGTACAAACTATTATCAGTCAATTGTCTTTAGTGAAAATAATCTAATCTACCAATGAAAAATCAGAACATTTGTTTTATAAATTGAAACATACCTCACATGATTGTAACTACATGTACTTTCTTTGATGTGGTCGCATGGCCGATAGGTTAACACGTTGGACTAGTAATTTCTGGATCTCTAGCTGTGCAGGTTCAAACCCCGTCGGGGGCAAGCTAATTATTCAGAACTGGTTGGTTCCAGGAAAAGATTTGAGAGTGTGACTATAAGCTTATAGATTAATACACAATCTGACTAAAACTAGAACTGCCACTGTCATGGCGTGAATACCCCTGCATACCACTTTGTCAGAATCAACAGTGGCCATTTAGAGCTCAAGGACAACGTCGCTGCCAAATCTGAGGTTACTTAGCCAGTGCTATGTATTCTACATGCTTCAAATGTGAAAATGTCAAAATCAATAAACTGCGGACAAGCATTCTTAAGCAATTAAGGGGAAAAGCTTTTTTTAGTCGACCTTTGACCCAGTTACCCTCAAAATCAATAGGGGTCACCTTAGAGTCATGATCAACCTCCAGGCCAAATATGAAGACTGTGGGTCAAAGGAATATTAAGTTAATGGGTGGACAATCTTTTTGAAGTCAAAGTCCATGTGACCTTCATCTTTGACCCAGTGACCTTAAAATAAATAGGGGTCACCTACTAATCATGACTAACCTTCATGCCAAATATGAAGACTGTGGGTCAAAGGAATCTTAAGTTATTGAGCGGACAAGCTTTTTTAGTCAAAGCCCCTGTAACCTTGACCTCTGACCCAGTGTAATAAAAATAAATAGGGGTCATCTACTTATCATGACTAACCTCCATGCCAAATATAAAGACTGTGGGTCAAAGGTTTCTTAAGTTGTTGGGCGGACAAACTTTTTAAGTCAAAGTCTCTGTGACCTTGACCTTTGATCCGGTGACCTCAAAATCAATAGGGGTCATCTACTCATCATGACTAACCTCCATGCAAAATATGAAGACTGTGGGTCCAAGGAATCTTAAGTTATTGGGCGGACAAGCTTTTTGAAGTCAAGGCCCCTGTGACCTTGACCTTTGACCTGGTGACCTCAAAATCAATAGGGGTCATCTACTCGTCATGACTAACCTCCATGCCAAATATGAAGACTGTGGGTCAAAGGAATCTTAAGTTATTGGGCGGACAAGCTTTTTGAAGTCAAGGCCCCTGTGACCTTGACCTTTGACCTGGTGACCTCAAAATCAATAGGGGTCATCTACTTGTCATGACTAACCTCCATGCCAAATATGAAGACTGTGGGTCAAAGGAATCTTAAGTTATTGGGCGGACAAGAAAAAACCGACGGCCAGCCGGACAGCCGGACGGACAAGCTGATTCCAGTATACCCCCCTTACAACTTTGTTGTGCGGGGGTATAATAAGTTCTGTATAAACTAACCACTGTCTTTTCTACTTTAAGTCAGTTGTTATATTCAGATTTTAAATGGATTGAAATATATAAACCGTCAGAAAAGTAAATTTGGCATTATAATACAAAAGTTTGGCATAACATAATTATGATTACCACTTACTTCTCAGCGAGTTTATGAAGGACGTCAGAAGAAGGGTGTGATTGAAGGTATTTTCTCCAGCTAGAAGCACTGGCTAGAAATCCTATGTAAGCTTCTAGGGGCATTTCTCTTCTAATACTGATTTCATCATTCTCTATACTGAAAAAGAAACACACCAAAAAACCAAAACATGTTTGGAAATGGTACATAGTGCCTGGCTGTTTCTATAGGTTCCGAGTTAATTAATACCCGAGGTTGCATACAGAATAAGTGAGAAACAACCTGAACTACCGCATGAGTATGTTTTTTTTGGTTGGCTTTTACGTCTCACGAACATAGTATTGGTCATACGGCGACTTTCCAGCTTGACTGATGGAGGAAGACCTCAGGTGACCCTTTATGCATTATTTCAGGCACGAACGGGCACCTCAGTAGAATCACCGACGTTCCGTAAGCTAGCTGGATAGCCTTGTCACATGAAAGGATTCGAAGACGTCAGACAGACGTGGTTTTAAGTCAACGACCTAAACCATTCGACCATAGGACATCGTATTTCCGATAGGCAGCAAACATTCCACAGAGCAAACATCGTCATCCCCATACATCGGTTTCATCATAAGAAAATGGCCAGCAATTTGGTCAAATGAGAGTAAACCTAACTTAGGACAAAAAATAAAACACTATATATCAATTAAATTTACGAGCGTTACAGTTAAACTCCGCTAATAAGACAATACTATACTGAAATGACCTTGACATCGAGCATGACTTTACGTCAGACTTCGTTTCTTCAAATTTGTTTAAAAAAATTAAAATACTTGAAGTGGTCCGATTACAGAGCATTGATCTTACATGTCCAGTGAATAATAATAGATGCTGTAAGTATTGTCTTGAAAAAATTGACTAACCGTACTGTCATGAAAACGGTCAACCTACCTATATGACAATGGATCATAGTATAATAAATAATTATGAGACTGTTAGAAAATAAATAAATCTTACAGTTGACAGTTGTCAAATGGGCGTTCTATAAACTTGTAGTGGTCATAACATAGCTTGCTGCATTCGTGCAAATAAGGATACACATAATCTTTGTAAAACTGAAAAAAAAATAAACTTGTAAAAAAATATTCATACATGTACATTAATTTTTCAAACAGAAGTTTCAAAACAGACAAGATACATGCAATGCAACAGTACCCCGAGTATCACCAAGACTATAGTTACCGTCGAATGCTTAATTCCAACAATTAAGCCATTATAACGATAAATATCTTAAAATGGGCCTGTCCGTCTTTCATTCTGGACAAAACCATTCGTCATTTTAGGGTAATTGCATTATATATGTACGCACTGTACAACGCAGACCATGATAAGTCGGCAAATCTCTTATCTCGACAATGGACAGTTTGAAATTGAAAGAAGATCAAGTCCATTCAAAAATATATGTATCATAGTAAAAAAAATTGAACATGTGGACAATATGACGCCTATGCATCTCCTTCCCTTACCACGTACCCGTGCCAATGTTGTGACTCTAGAATATAGCTGTGCAATACCTTTTTTGATGTTACACCATTAAACTTACAGCATAGCGTTCAGCTGCGCTGAATGTTAGCGTTAGCCTACAGTTCTAATTCAGTCTGATTGCTCTTTCCGGTCATGTTCATTTAAGTAAATGAATCGCTTTATGAATCATTATCTTCTGAGCTTATGTTCATAAAAGTTGACCAAACAGACATCTAAATTTCTAGTCTTTCCGATAACCGTAAATTAATATTTCAATCAACCGATAATATCTGAATAACTATAATTATGCAGAGCCCTTTGCATAGATTTTTTAGCAATTACATTGATTCACTTTTAATACATGTATAGTTAAATATAGTACCTGTTCATTTATTGTTTGGGCCTCTAAATCATCCAGTCTATTAATACCATAGCCATACACAGCACACACACCACCAGGCTTCAACACTCTTCTCACTTCAGCGTAAAATTTATCCCTGTCCAGCCAATGTACAGCCTGGGCACTTGTTATCAAATCTGTAGAACCGTCGGCAAGAAAACTCAAATCTTCTCCTGGTCCTACTTTAAAGGTTACGTTTTCCATGTTATCTGGTGCATGGCTTATCTGTGTTTCACTTACATCATACCCAATCACATGTTTAAAGTATTTACAGAGTGGAACAGTGCTTTGTCCGCTTCCACAACCGACATCCACCGCTAGATCAAAACTATCCTGTGAATTCCTTTCTAATGTACTTCCTCTATTAAGATATTCAACGATTGTTTTAAAGACTGTTTCTGGGTAGGTCGGTCTGTACTGCGCATACAGCGATGCTTGCTCTTCGTCTGCGAATTTTCCCATCGACATGATTGCATAAGAATCAGATCCACTTTCGGGCTTCCAAGTACTAAACGCTGGATAAACGGCAATGCATTTGTAATTACGACGTAAATGATGTAACATCATGACGTCATGTTCATACCAACGTTAAACGTCATTGCCTTGGCGACGTCATTAAAGTAAGCGCAATCATAGCTAACGAACGGCAGAAAAATCTCTAAGTTAAAATGGCTGAAAAAGAACAGGCGTTGTTAGATATAGTTTCAGAAACGTTTGTAGTCAATGAAATAAACAACAGTAATGATAAAAATGATGATGACGTCAAACACATTATGACGATGACTGAAAAGGAGAGGCTCCAGAAAATTGCACGGATGTTTCTTGCAAAACCAGACAATAAAGGAACTGTACATAAAGATGGACACAACAATCGCACAAATGGCGATGTCAAATTGAATTCATCTGAAACTAGATCTAGAGGGGAAAAGAAAAAGGTAAAAACTAAAAAAAAAAAGTATTTTTCGTTGTTATTGACTTTTTTCAAAAAAGATAAGAAAAAACATATAAAATAGAATCTATATATAATCAGAAATGATGTAAATAATATTTGATTTTGCTGTATTTTTTTTTGAAACGATGATTTTTTTAACTGTTATTGGTTGTCTTCAACTGTATGTTTTCCAACTGTCAAAATACTAAAAGAAAGCAAAGGTATACATTATTATACATTGATCTACATCAATTATAAGGTTGACATTCAAGTGGTAGACTGTAAACATTAAGAAAAACTGTCGCTATGGAAATTACATTTTTTTTGTAATTTTAACACATACTGTAATCTAAGAAATTCTCACTTTTAAAAAAACATGTATGTACACAATAGAAAAAAAAGATCATTCCGATTTTGAGGGAAAATAACTTTGACAATCATCTTTGTTTTTACTATTGAGAGGAAACCGTCTTGAACTTCTTAGAAAATATGATGTTTTTTCCATATACACATAATTTAATTGAATTCCGCGATTCTTACAATGAAAGACGCTTTTTATTACTTTCTGGTCCTAAATTTTTCTTTGTATAATGGTTTAAAACAGTATCATTTTTTTAGACTGACCAGAATTCAAGCCCTTGTTCGATTATATCAGACGACAAGCAGACGAAAGATAAGAACATCTCTGCGGGCTGTTTCGGATTTTTGGCATCATTGTTTTCTTTCAAGAAACAAAAGCGACGACGAAGGAAGCAAAAATATACCGTTGACCAGCCAATCAAAAAGAAGAACTTGTGTGTAAGATTTAGCGAATTTGTAATGATCATCCCACCAAGTCCCGGCGATGATTTATCCGAGGAAGAGTATTCAGGAAATGACAGCAACACTGGCACGACAGAATTCGATGGTGTCAAAATCATTTCTTTTATATGAACTCATAAAATGAATAGTGATAACATTGGTTTATCATCTGACATTTGTTCTTTTTGTTGTCAAAAAATTAAAAAGGAAAAGAAAAAAAACATGAAGTTAGTTTTAAGAAATTATTATCACCTTATTCTCTACCTCGCCAGTTCAGAATGCAGAATGAATTATCACCACCATCATCAAAATTATCAAAGCCCATCTGGCCATCATTATAAACTTTTCATTTTACTAAAGGACTTCTAGGTGTTTTCCCGTAATTTCTTTTCTTTTCTTTTTTTCTTTTCTTTTTTAGTTTTTGCGACGGACGCGCCCTCAGGCGCGTTCAGAGCTAAGTCATCTACACATGGGATTTCGTTGGCTACACTCGCGCAATGTGTCCTAAACCAATTAACAGCCCAAGAAATAGTACATGAATTTGATCCTTCAAAACTCCCATACTTTGTCTGGATATCTTAATGTCTTCCATATTTAGCCTTTTCAATTTCAAATTAAGTTATCCAAGTTAAAATATGAACGTATATTATTGATAAAAACGTTGTAGTCCCGTAGTATTATTGCGCACTATGCAAATTACTGCTGAAACGATTTACCGCTGTCGAAAAAGTAGGACAGCAAATTATACTTCAATAAAGGTGTAACCTCTGAGTTCCAAGACATTATTAGAAGGAAATAAATATTTCTACATTATACAAAACATTATTATTAACAAATCAAAAGTTTTTCGTGACTCTAGGATAACTCGCGCATTAATAAAAGAAGAACTATTTTTGTGACTCATACCGCGGGTTTAGCTGAATATTCAGCAGTTATTAATATATTAGATACAGTACAATGGCTAGTATAAATATCTATTTTTGAAAATGCATGTAAGACACTTTATCGCCATGTAGTCTTTCATGGTAAGGAAGTTATAATATCAGTTCTACTTCCGATTCTTGTGGTTTGTTTACATATTTTACTAGGTCATGATATGAGTTAACCTTCGCTATTCTAAAAATAGATTCTGCTTCACCTGTTCTGATTTTTGGACAGGCGATTAGGAAGTACACATTAAACATGTAATTAATAAACCAGCGGATTGTAATGCAATACTTTTAGAAATGCTATACAATTGTAAGAAGCAAACAAGTTGAAAATGGAATTTAGTGTGAAGTTGAAAAGGACAACTAAACACTGTAGTGCTTAAGTGACATTTAAATTAAAATAAAAACGATGTGCTCTGGCCTCTACATCTTTACCTTGTAAATAAAAAAATCTAAGAAATACACTATTAATTGCTGATGATTTTAACCAATTTTTTTTTTAATGAGACATATCCAAGAGAAATAAAAATACAAATGACTTATATTTTATTGTCTGTATGCCCACTATGATATAACACGAAGCAATTCTAAATAGCATTCTCAAATGTATAATGTATTATGTTTGAAGTTTATTTGCCTGGATTTATTCTAGAAATATTTCGTTGATAGTTTTTTTTTTCTATTTACATATCATTTCTTAGAATAAATCGATAAGGACACTGATTTACAAGTTTGACCAGAGTTTTTAGGCATAAATTTCATTCTGTATTTAAGTGCTTGAAAGTAGAAAATCTGAATTATATCAATTTGGGACACAAAATATATTGCTCTACAAATCTCGAACTTGTATGGAACAAATTTTCTCTGTTATATATTTTGTGTTTTGTTTTTGTTTTTTTTTCTAAAAGAAGCCTTAATTAATGTCTCTCCGGTTGCATGTCCGTCGCATTCAGTGCTGCAGCACTTTGATTTTGTTTGGTTTTACTTGATTATTATTCGTACACTCGCATCATCGTGGTGAAAGAAATAAATACATGAAACCATTTAAATCTTGAATTATGAAAGGTGTTGCGTGAGAAATGTCTTTCGGTGTACGTTCGTCCGTCCCGCCATCCGTAGACTCGTTTGTGTCGTGTATTAATGATTCCACGAGTATTTAACAACAAGAGTCGTGAAACTTCCTATAAATAGTTGTTGTTATGAGTTTAATGTTGGGTAAAGGCACGTTTAATATGCCCCAAAAACGAATAAATTTTCCTTCTTTAGAAAGGTCAAATGTGAGATAATGGGATGCTTACATGAAAAGGTGCTAGTGGCATTGATTTGACCTAAAATGTGTTTAACCTTGTTATTTATGCAATAAAATATCCATATATTATTTTTTTTTACTGTTATAATTATCATTATAGTCTATAACAATATAAATCGTAAACAATCATATTTTTTTATTATTTTTTAATAGACATGTATATTTTATTGCATAAATAACAAGGTTAAACACATTTTAGGTCAAATCAATGCCACTAGCACCTCTGCTTACTTGTAGTACCACCCGAATTTCTGTACATAGAACTACATACACACCCGTGCCGATTTTGCGACTCCGTAAATATGGTATTGCACGGCCGTGCATATATTTTGACGTGACGTCATTAGCGTTATACAAACATAGTGATACAAACGTGCTAAATTGTTAGCGTTAAACTATAGGCGCGTCAATGAAAATGACTCTTATTTTCACTTTAAATGGTCTTTATTTTGGGTATGTGATAAATAGAACATTAAATTCGTACGTGTATGTTCAGCACTCGTTGAATAAAATAATATTATGCGAGCCTCTGGCGAGCATTATATAATTTTATTCAACTCGTGCAATAAATTCAGTATTGAATTTACACTCATTCAATATCCTCTATATATGCCACGACAATATGTTTGCAATCAATTTTAAACATAAATTCACGGTTGATTAAAGAATTATTTTTTTTAATCCATACTTGCAGTAAAATTCAATACGTGTAGCTTTACACTGGATATGATTTGTTTACCGCAGGAAATTGACATTCCATAAGCAAATAATTAAAAAATAACGGCAAATATACCCCTCTATACTAAGGGTGTAACGGTTTACCGGTATACCGATATATTGCAATATGAAAAAATAAATTTCGAACCGCGGTACGATTTTTGGAAAACCGGTATTTTATAAAAATCATCATTTTCAATTAATTGCCTTCTAATTTTGTACAAATTTCACATAAAATCTTTAATTGGCAAATTTTGTTGGCGCCAACGTAAGATAAAAGTATCCGACAACTAGTACACTTAAAAGTCAATAAGCGGCCGCATAATTTACATAAGCGGCCCATATGTGAAAGGTCACACGCGACTAGTTTTCTTTATCAAATTGTGTGACACTTTTAACTTTCTATTTATTCCTTACATTTTTATTAAGTTTCTACTAAAAATATATACATATAATAATAATATATAAATGTCACTCCATCTTTACATCAAAACATATACACGACAATACGTATTGCAATATATTGCAATACGCTTCAGCAAAATGGCAATATATTGCAATACGGTTTTTGCTGTATTGTTACACCCCTACTCTATACTATAAATATTATGTACATAATCATTTGCCGTTATTTTTTAATTATTTGCTTATATTTTTTTCAATTATTGATAGAATGTCGATCTCCTGTGTTGTTTACACAATTTCTAAATGTGTTTGCTAAATTCTATATGTTTACGATATTCATAATTATTTAATACACATGTAAATGTAAAAGGATATCTTACCTTTTATCCAACTGATAGGAGACCAAAAGGTCATGCACTTTGTTTATTTTGTTTGTAGAAGGGAAGTAACCCTAGAAAGTACTTTAACTATCCGATGGCCGGGCATTGGAGGTTAGGTTCCAGTACTGTACAGAATGAAACGGTGTAGAAAAAGAAGCTATACGTATTTTGTGAACCACGCATTCCGATGGCTGTGTCAACCACGCATTTCTCTTTGCATTAAACGCACTAAAACAAAACCGGTTATCGTTTTTGTTTTGTTTTTCTTGTTCTTTTTTTTTTGGTAATGTTGAATATTGTAAAAATATGTAAAAAGGCTATACTTCCTTATCAACCATGCATTCCGATTTAGAATCTAGTAATTATATTCAAGCGCATACATAAAATTTGTTACCATTTACAAATGGCTCTAGATTCAACGAAACATGACATAACTTATAAATATTGTCATTTATATATATTGTCAATCAGGTATTCCGTTTTGGACATTATGCATTTTTTATAAGAAATGTTCTATTTGAAAGACCCTCCTGACATGCAAGAACCTTATATTCTAGCACACGTGTAGACCCTTACTTAAGTCGTTCATAGTCAGTTTTCTTAAATTTAGACACCATTTCGCAATCATGAAATAATAAGAGTATTCAAAGTTTTGAAATAAATTGGATTTATGTGGGCCGGGCTATTTCTAGGGAAAGTAGAGACAATATGGATACTTTTGCTTTTTCGCAAGCACGCTATACCTTGTTTGTGGCGTTTAGTTTATCATTTGGGAATATTTCCTACATGTTTAAAACTATGAACCTGCATGATCAGTAGGACAATCTCCTATCGATAGTTGAAACTTGGCTACTTAATACTAATATTATATATGACATTAATTCCAGTGTGCTTTTGCTTCACCTGTATTTACAAATACAATCGTGTATATACATGTACGTGATATCAAGGATATCTTGAAGGCCGGTAGGGTTTTATTTTATTTATATCTGATTCTCATCACTGTTTTCAAATAGATTTTTGAAAGACCCTGGCCTGATCTCATGCATAATAAATAAACAAGGTCAAAATACGGAAAATAGTATTTGGCATGCGTTTTGCTGAAAGGTTTAATAAAGAGCAAATAAATAAGTAAATGTAATCACGGATAATATAAATCCGTGATGTAAAGTATGTAATAATACATGAAAGGTGGGGGGGGGGGGGAGACTAAAATCCTGTATGTATATCCACGGACTTATATTATAATTATTGTAATATAAATCCGTGGTATATCTCATACATGATAGGTGAAGATTTGGAAAATCTGTATTTTGCAGACAGAATTATTTCAAAGACCCTGATATGAGATATACAGGTTTTCCTTATTTCCACATATTATTTCATATTTTGCTCATTATTTTACCTGTCTGAAAATTTCAATCAATACTTTTCCATATATCAGATTTTTTGCGACGGACGCGCCCTCAGGCGCGTTCAGAGCTAAGTCATCTACACATGGGATGTCGTCTGCTACAATCGCGCAAAGTGTCCTCAACCGATTAACAGCCCAAGAAATAGTACATGAATTTGATCCTTTAAAACTCCCATACTATGTCGGGATATCTTAAAATCTTCCATATTAAGCCTTTTCAATTTCAAATTAAGTTATCCAAGTTAAAATATGAACGTATATGATTGATAAAAACGTTGTAGCCCCGTAGTATTATTGCGCAATATGCAAATTACTGCCGAAACGATTTACTGCTGTCGAAAAAGTAGGACAGCAAATTATACTATAATAAAGGTGTAAGCTCTGAGTTCCAAGAAATTATTAGTAGGAAATAAATATTTCTACATTATACAAAACATTATTATTAACAAATCATAAGTTTTTCGTGACTCTAGAATAACTCGCGTATTAATAAAAGATGAACTATTTTCGTGACTCATACCGTGGGTTTAGCTGAATATTCACCAGTTATCAATACATTAGATACAGTACAATGGTTAGTATAAATATCTATTTTTGAAAATGCATGTAACAAGAGAGTTTTTCAACACTTTACCACCATGTAGTCTTTCATGGTAATCTTTATTGAAGGAACTTATAATATCAGTTCTACTTCCGATTCTTGTGGTTTGTTTACATATTTTTCTAGGTCACGATATGAGTTAACCTTCGCTATTCTAAAAATAGATTCTGCTTTACCTGTGCTGATTTTCGGACAGTAGGGAGTACACATTATACATGTTATAAACCAGCAGATACTTACTTTGTTCACGTGCAATACTTTTAGAAATTCTATACAATTGTAAGAAGCAAACAAGTTGAAAATGGAATTTAGTGTGAACATGAAAAGGACAACTAAACACTGTAGTGCTTAAGTGACATTTAAATTAAAATAAAAACGATGTGCTCTGGCCCTTGTAAATAAAAAAAATCTAAAAAATACACTTTTAATTGCTGATGATTTTAACCAAAAATATTTTTAATGAGACGTACATATCCAAGAGAAATAAAAATACAAATGACTTATATTTTATTGTCTATATGCCCACTATGTTAAATCACGAAGCAATTCTAAATAACATTCTCACATGTATTATGTTTGAAGTTTATTTGCATGGTTTTATTTTAGAAATATTTCGTTGACAGTTTTTTTCTATTTACATATCATTTCTTGGTATAAATTGATAATGACACTGATTTACAAGTTTGACCAGAGGTTTTAGGCAAAAATTTCATTCTGTATCTAAATGCTTGAAAGTAGAAAATCTGGATTATATCAGATTGGGACACAAAATATATTGCTCTACAAATCTCGAACTTGTATGGAACAAATTTTCTCTGTTATGTATTTTGTGTTTTTTTTCCCTAAAAAACCCTAAATGTCTCTCCGGTTGCATGCCCGTCGCATTCAGTGCTGCAGCACTTTGATTAAATAATACTATTATAAATTAAGTCAGTATCTTTCCCATTCACACGTTATGACAAAAGATTCAACACCCCCTATTGTAATCTAAATAAATTCCCCGTTTTCCCATGATTTTAGTCATACCGATCGGAATGCGTGGTTGACATAACGACCGGAGTACGTGGTTTACATTTTCGAAAAGTCAATCGCAACTTTTCGGCCCTTTGATATAGTCATAATGATAATAGCCGAGCACATTCCGATTGAAGAAAAAGTTTGGGAATTCCCACCGGATATCTACTTTCTTTATCGGGAAAAAGACGTCATCCTCAAAATGGAAAGTAAGAAGTTAAGAGGGACAGAACATTATGTATACAGTGTTGAAGACCTTATTGGAAAGGGGGCAACATGTGAAGTATTTAAAGGGATTCATAAGGTCACAGGTGAAGTTCATGCATTAAAGATATTTGAGCGCAGGTTAGGGGGCGTAGCACAGAGAGAGATTGAGGCACTGAAAACACTGAATCATGAAAATATTGTGGCTTTCATGGGGCAGGAAGTTGATAAAGATACAAACCGAGTGGTGGCTGTCATGGAGTACTGTGAAAAAAGTCTGTACATGGCTTTGTGTGAATCCGAGAATAGATACGGTCTAACAGAGGACGAGTTTATTCGGTTTTTCAAGCATACAGTTGAAGGAATGAAACATCTACGAGAACATGGTTTCCTCCATAGAGATATTAAACCAGGAAATATACTTATAGCACAGGACCAAGATGGTAGCAATATTTACAAACTTTCTGACTTTGGAACAGCAAAGCCAGTCCTTGAAACAGAAGCTTTTCAGTCCTTAGTCGGAACAGAAGAATATCTTCATCCAAACATATTCCGAGCAGCTTTTATTGATCAAGGCATGTCAAGAGAGTTTGATGCTGCTTCTGACCTTTGGAGTCTGGGTGCAACCCTTTACCATACTGTCACTGGCCGAGTTCCCTTCGTGCCATACCAGGGAAGAAACAACAAAGCATTGATGTTTAAGATGATAGCACACAAACAGTTTGGAGTGATAGCGGGAGAACAAAGAACTCAGAATGGTGATGTAATATGGTCCACTGACTTACCTTCAACTTGTAGAATGTCAAGATGGCTGAAAGATGCACTGACCGAGATTCTGTGCCGTCTGCTTGAAAGTGACCCAAAAAGGGCAATGACCTTTGAAACATTTTTCATGGCAGCTGGAGATATATTGAGTCGACATATAGTTTATGTTTTTTCGACAACCTCAGCAAGACACTTCAGACTTTATTTACAAAAGGAATGTGTGTTTTCTGATGTACAGCAAGAAATATTTATAGAAACAAACATTCCACCAAGGGACCAACTGATAAACTATGAAGAATGTCTGCTCAGGGATATTATATCAGAAACAGATACCGTCAGTCAATATCCAAAGATGAGTTTGGCCACACCCCTGGTTCTGGTTCGATCAACGGAAGTAGAGCAGTGTATCATGCCTGATGAAAAGAACTTCTGGTACAATGAGAACCTTTCTGTATGTACCCCGACTTTCACAGAGTCTGTGTGGAACTTGGATGAGGATTACAGATTGGCCAAGTCAGTCTGTGACAGTATAGCTCTCATACAGTCATACATTGAGCAGGGTTGTCTGACACAAGACCTCTTTGAGAAAACAATCAACAGGACAGAGCGCTGGAAGGAGGTGTTGATAAATCGACTACAGACAGAGGTGAATTTGTACCGTGACCGAGTTAAGGATTTGCGTCACATTCACCGAGCAATAATGGAAAACGGAGCCGTACAATGTGTTACAACTACAGCTGGACTCTCAATAGAGCATCCTAAGGCAAGGATAAGTAATTGCCTAGCTTATATGGACACCATTAAGAACATGAAAACAGACAGAGGGTATAAGCTGTACATGAGCGGGTGTGTGGATGGTAACAAATGTCAAAAGAAAATCAGTAGGCTATTACAACAAGCTAAAGATAAGAGAGGAATTATGGAGAGCAGGAAAAAAAGAAGGTCGCTACAGTACCACGAAGAGCAGTTACATCGGTTTGACAGGAAGGAATTGATAAAGTTACATAATGCAGCACTTAAATTGTGGTCAGCACACTGTCAGATTAAATTGAAGGCTGTACATGAACACTTTCTATCATGGCATAGGTCATTCGCTCAGCTTCAGACACAGATGGAAGCCTTACAAAAAGAAATCAAAGTAACCAAATCTACCATCAAAAAGTATGTGATGAATTTCAAGGTAAGCTCAGAACCGACTTCTCTTATGAGTACCAGTTCAAGCCTAGCCCTTGATGAACTGAGCACTTTGGAAACAGATGGAAACAGAAGATTGGATGTTGTAAAGACCGAACAACAAGAAGTGAAGAGAATCGTGAGTGAAAATAGAGAAATTCATAACAGAAGCATGCAGATGATGTCACTTGATGATGGTTTAACAGATTTCCCAACCCTTACCAGTACTGAGTCAGGGCAGTCATCAGACTCTAAATAGCTGAAGTAGTAATCAGACAAGATTTATAATGAGCAGTAATGTGATGGAGTGCAACAGTCAGTAGTGATAATAAAGTAGTAATGTGAAGGTGTTGTACAGACAAGATTTATAATGAGAAGTAATGTGATTGAGTGTAACAGTCAGTTGTGATAATTAGAAGAAATGCTGTATAAAAGTGTTAAAGAAATGTGATTTGTTTTATGTGCAGTGTAACTGTGTTATGATTTTACAAAAGAAATGTAGACATAAATTATAATAGCTAGGTTTGACATTGTGTTGGATGATTGACAGACAAAGTGTGAACTAGTGGACTAGATTTGTTGAAATATACTATAGTCAAGAGTGTCATAATTATTTGTCTTTCCAAGGAACCTTAAGAATAAGTTCAACATATAACAGGGAATCCCCTAATACAGTATCAAAGACAGATGATAAGTTCTTCTTAGCATAAGATATACTATTGTGTAACTGTATGAATGAGTTATATTTAACCAATTTGCTGTAAACATAGATCTATTAATATAATCTTTATATTTCTGATTTATTGATTAATATGAATTCTTCCATGTATTTTATGTAATAGACTACAAATTTATATTATGTTATTGTTTGTAAACCACTTTTTTTTAATGAAACATTGTATTTGTATTTTTACTGTTTCAACTACACTTTAAGTAAAGTTATATCATAAATGCATAATTAACATTTCTTTGTTGGAGACATGACAAATACATACTGTTTAGATTTTTGTTATTTTGTTAATTTTAGATTAAATTCCAATAAATTCTGTTTTAAAATTTTACATAGATCTCCAATCCCACAAATATTATTAAGGTCTATTAGTTAAATCAAAGTGTAGATTTTTAAAACATATTATTCCTACTTTGTATTGTGGTACTAATAGGTTATGCTCTTAGCCAAGAATTAATAGATAGATTGATAGATAATTTATTGACGTATACATTTAGTACATAGTCATTTCACACACATTTGTATAGTATAATTAAAACACAATATCATGGTACATGAACAAAAGTTTTAGCACAAAATATTCAGTTTACATATTAATCATAATAGCTGTTGATGACATAACATTATGTTAAGAATTAAATGTTATTAGAGCTAATTCAGTGCAAAACATATTGATGATACCTCTATATTGGTTGACAAATATTGGCGATACACCAATATATCGATAAATACTATTATTTCCATGTACGTGTATATTAAACTTTTTCATACCTGTTTAAATGATTTTAATAAAATAAATGTTCTGTTCATGCAAAAATGTTGTGTCCCGTCTTAAATGGACCTTTGCATGATTTTTTCTGACTTATATTTTGTCGTCACTTCTATGGAATATGTCCATTATGAAACAACAGCTTAGTGTTAGACATGGCCACTTGCATTTATATATGTTTTAAGTGAATTTTCATAATTTATAGACTTTTAAATAATTTAATAATTAAATTGATTTATAAAAATAATCAATTGTTTCAAATGCATATCGATTATTGATTGACAGAAAAGTGTTAGCGATACATCGATGTAGTCTCTATCGATGACAGCTCTAAATGTTATACATGAATAACATTCATACCTATATTAAATCTCATATAATACGAACATAATTACATGGTTAACAAAGAATTTTAAGCATTTTGTAAAAATATCTCTTACATTTCAACATTTTCTGTAGTTAGTAAACATTAGATTACATCTGTCAAAAATAATTCCTGAACAATAATTAAGCCTGGAATTTATTGTAAATGAGAAGCTTTATACATTTATGTATATGATTTTACTTGCATTAATAGTATTTTTAACAGAGTCTAAAGTTATAGTCATTGAATTTAAGATTTTTAATTTACTGGCCCGATTTCCAGTTTTGAATTTATTCTACTATATATTGAAGTTATTTTAACTAAATTTTCTTAAAATTTACACTGGCCCGAACTAATTTACACTGGCCATGGGCCACCAGGCCAGTGCTTAATTTGTTGACTGCTAAAGTCACAAGTGAAATAAACTTTTTGTTTTGTAGGCTTAAATGGCAAAAATAAGGACTAAAATAGGTTTTTCATAAATCATTATATTTTGGTTCACTGGGAGAAAATGATACTCGTTTTCTATTACATTCATATTACATTTGTTACATATTTGTTCATTTTTTAGAATAAATAGTTGTATCCCTTTTTCAGTCATTAAATCATGAGATGATAGTGGAAATCATGTTAATGCTATTATAAATTTATTGTTTTGTATTAAATCTAGGTATCATTCTAATGATAATTAATTCTTGTACAAGGTATAAGCTAGACTGTACATAATCTGTTTAATGTTCTTATTTCCGCAGCTCAAGATTGTTTATATATATCTATTATTCTTTGTTTGATTGTTTTTAGTGATAATATGATTTCTGCATTATGTGATAACCAAATAATTATTTGACATACATATTTCATCTAAAATTTGTTGAACATGTCTGACCAAATCAAGGTCATTTAATCATTATAGATACATATGTATTTCCATTGTCAATATCATCATTACCATAAATATATTGTACATCCGTTTATCACATACCCATGCCAAATTTGCAACTCTGTAAAAATGGTATTGCACGGCCATGCATATGTTTTTATGTGACATCATTTATGTTATACAAACATAGTGTACAAATGCATTAAATTTGTTAGTGTTACACTGTAGGCATCTATTAAAAAAGGATTCTTTTGCACTTTAAACAGTCTTTATTTTGGGTAAGTGATAAATAGAATATTATATTCGTGTAGCTTCATTGCTGATTTTTTAAAACTTTTTAAATAAAACAATATTTTGCTTGCCAAGGGCTCGCATAATATAGATTTATACGACTTGTGTAATAAATTTAGTATTGAATCTACACTCATTTGATATCCTCTATTTAATTAATGTATTATCAGCAGACTTAAGTATTTTTATCCAATATTTAATTAAATTAAATTAACGTTGTCATGCCATAGTATATCTTTCTAGTTCTCTATATATAGAAACAAGATTAGTTGTTTTTTCAAACGCATAATAATTTTCTCATGGATTTATTAGGAATAATTTCTTTATCCTTTGCAATATGGTATCCATAGATTTCTTAACCATAATTTAAAATTGATTGTACTAGACTATCTAATAAGCTACATTTTTTCTTTAGTGTTAAGACTTAATTTGTTGTAAATGATATAATATAAGTTATGAAGTGCGTGTAAAGAGTGTTTTGCTATGTGTATTTTTTCCTATTCAAGTTGTCGTTTTTAGCTCGACTTTTTTTTTTGAAAAAAAAATAGAGGTATTGCTACAGTCAGGTCGGCGTTGCCGTTGCCGTTGCCGTTGCCATTGCCGTTGCCGTTGCCGTTGCCGTCCGAAAACTTGTACCTGGATCATAACTTTTTTATTTCTTTGTGTATTGTCTTCATACTTGGCCACAACAACCCTTGGGACAAGACCTTTCAGTAGACCACACTAACCTTGACCTTCATCCATAAATGACCTTGACCTTCAAGGTTAAAAGTCCAATTTTTGCTTGTTCATGCTGTTATTGGCTGTAACTTTGTTATTTTTGAATGGATTGTCTTCAAACTTGAACATAATAATCTTTAAGGATATCCCTTAAAAATAACCAGCCAGACCTTGACCTTCACTCATAAATGACCTTGACTTTGAAGGTCAAATTATTGAAATTTTCATTTTTTTGGCTTTTATTGGCTGTAAGTTTGTTATTTTTGAATGGATTGTCCTGAAACTTGAACATAATAATCTTCAAAGATTACTGTTAAAGATATACCGGAAGACCTTGACCTTCACACATTAATGACATTGTATTTGAAGGTCAAATTATTGAAATTTTCATTGTTTTGGCGGTCACTGACTGTAACTTTGCTATTATTGAAGGGATCAACTTCATATTATTAGAGAACATTCTTAAGGACCAGACCTTGTTGTTTATCAAACCCAACTTTGCTTGGGCTCTTAAATGACCTTGACCTTGAAGGTTAAATTACTGAATTTTCTCAGATTTGTGCAGTAAATGACCATATTTAAATATTTATTGGTGTGTGTGTGTCTATATATATATATTTACAACAACAACAACAATAACTAAAATTGTGTCATTGTTTCTATTTATAGAATTGCGTCATTGTTTCTATTTATAGAATTGCGTCATTGTTTCTATTTAGAGAAATTGGGTCATTGTTTTTTTTGTTTTTTTTTATAGAAATGCGTCATTGTTTCTATTTTTAGAGATTGCATCATTTTTTCTATTTTTAGAAATTGCATCATAATTTCTATTTTTAGAAATTGCATCATTTTTTTCTATTTTTAGATATTGCGTCATAATTTCTATTTTTAGTATTTTTAGAGATTGCATCATTTTTTCTATTTTTAGAAATTGTGTCATAATTTCTATTTTTAGAAATTGCGTCATAATTTCTATTTTTAGAAATTGCGTCATTGGTGCTATTTTTAGATATTGCGTCATTTTTTCTATTTTTAGAAATTGCGTCATAATTTCTATTTTTAGTATTTTTAGAGATTGCATCATTTTTGCTATTTTTAGCAATTGCGTCATAATTTCTGTTTTTAGAAAATTGCATCATTGGTGCTATTTTTAGAATTTTGCATCATTGTTGCTATTTTTTAGAAAAATGCGTCATTGTTTCTAATTTTAGAGATTGTGTCATTTTTTCTATTTTTAGAAATTGCGTCATAATTTCTATTTTTAGAAATTGCGTCATAATTTCTATTTTTAGAAATTGCGTCATTTTTTCTATTTTTAGAAATTGCGTCATTTTTTCTATTTTTAGAAATTGCGTCATTTTTTCTATTTTTAGAAATTGCGTCATTTTTTCTATTTTTAGAAATTGCGTCATTTTTTCTATTTTTAGAAATTGCGTCATAATTTCTATTTTTAGAAATTGCGTCATTGGTGCTATTTTTAGAAATTGCGTCATTTTTTCTATTTTTAGAAAATTGCGTCATAATTTCTATTTTTAGAAATTGCGTCATTGGTGCTATTTTTAGAAATTGCATCATTTTTTCTATTTTTAGAAATTGCGTCATAATTTGCGTCATTTTTTCTATTTTTAGAAATTGCGTCATTTTTTCTATTTTTAGAAATTGCGTCATAATTTCTATTTTTAGAAATTGCGTCATTGGTGCTATTTTTAGAAATTGCGTCATTTTTTCTATTTTTAGAAATTGCGTCATTATTTCTATTTTTAGAAATTGCGTCATTGGTGCTATTTTTAGAAATTGCGTCATTTTTTCTATTTTTAGAAATTGCGTCATAATTTCTATTTTTAGAAATTGCGTCATTTTTTCTATTTTTAGAAATTGCGTCATTGGTGCTATTTTTAGAAATTGCGTCATTTTTTAGAAATTGCATCATAATTTCTATTTTTAGAAATTGCGTCATAATTTCTATTTTTAGAAATTGCGTCATTGGTGCTATTTTTAGAAATTGCGTCATTTTTTCTACTTTTAGAAATTGCGTCATAATTTCTATTTTTAGATATTGCGTCATAATTTCTATTTTAGTACATCTAGAAATTGCGTCATTTTTTTCTTTTTTTAGAAATTGCTTCATTTTTTCTATTTTTAGAAATTGCGTCAATTTTTCTATTTTTAGAAATTGCATCATTGTTGCTATTTTTAGAAATTGCATCACTTTTTTATTTTTAGAAATTATGTCATTTTTTGTATTTTTAGAAATTGCGTCATTTTTTCTATATTGAGAAATTGCGTCATGTTGCTATTTTAAGAAATTGCGTACTGTTGCTATTTTTAGAAATATGCTTAATGTTTCTATTCATATATATACAAAATATATAAAGAAAACTAATGTGACAAGACAGACAAACTAAATTTATAAAAAGGAAACGTTAATATATGTTCAAACCTTTCTATGTTTGCGTTTAGAAAAAGTAAAAAGTCGAGCGTTGCCCCCGCCCGGCGGTGGCTCTTGTTAAAGTGTGTTATACTGAGATAAATGAATGAGCCAAAAATTTCTAATTGAATATCATTTAACATGAAAGTATGTAGGTTGTTTTCCTTCCTTTTTTCAAATATCATTGTTGTTTTCGAAGTATTGACATGTAAATCCCACAAACCACAATATATTTGAATATCATGTAACTCAATTTTTTTATGGTTTTATATCAAAAATATAATGCTCAAATGAAGATTTATTAATATTGTAAGTTTCAAATAGCATTATATGTAAAGATATTACTAAATTTACATTTCATGTTAATTTAATAAAGGGAGGTAATTAGAAATTTATTTTTTATAAAGTCTAAGTCAAATTTTTCAATAAGAAATGAATGCATATATTTTAATGTTTACATATAATGTGGACAAATATTTGCAGTACATATTTTACATATTCTTTGATATTTGAAAATTGTTTTAGAAGCATAATTATTAAGTGTGGTAAGAACCTTAAATATCAACTGTAATATCCGTGGTGTTTCTGCAAAAATAACAGCATCGTCTGCTAAAAGCATATAAGTTTGATGTCATATAGAACAGATGCCATCTATTTATTAATAAAATGATGTCATTCACAAAAAAAAAAACAACATTAGACTGGAACTTGGATCTCCCTGTTTTACTTCAATATTTATCAAGTAAAGAATGGAGACTGTTCTGATTTTTATCTTTATCCAAACTTTCACTGTACTGTAAAATCATTATTATTTGTGGGGCACCAATTTTCGTGGTTTTCGTGGGTAGGTCAATCCACGAATTTAAGATCCGACGAAATTTTATCCGAGCAAATACTTCTTACCCTGTCTCTGTTCTATATATTACAACATGCGTCAGCTCTTTTCTGGCCGATTTACGTGAAATGGTATTATACATAACTCTTAAAGCATTTACTATTGTGAACTAACATTCTCTGTAATCAAATTATGAAATAAATGAGACCTTGTAATTTTATCGAATCATTTTTCGAATTCTATAAAAACAACAATATAATTTTTTCTTTAACCCTTTCACTGCCATAGGGACAGCTTAAGCCGTCACTGTTATTCTCGGCGTATTTGCCATATGGACGGCTTTAGCCGTTTCTATAATAATAATAGTAATAATAATAAATTAATAATAGTAATAATAAAAATAATAATAAATATATAGAAAATTATACCATCGACAATAATTATTATTATACTTACAGGTTTGGAAACATATATAATTATTATAACACTAATAACAAATAGTAATAATTATATTTATTAATAATATAGTAATTTCTTAGAAAACCCTCTGGCAAATAGGTGAACAATAAAACAATAACCCTCTGGCAGCGAAAGGGTTAACGACAATATTTTAGCGATCATTGATTGTAGAATATAAACACAATGAAACACAGTAAATTGTTGTTATTTACCAGCCTGAAAAAACCAAATTGGTTTTCTAAGATTGTCTCATTTGTTAGAGTCTATTTTGTTAAACTGTTTAAAAGAATTTGTGAGTAAATTTTTGATATTATAAATATAATGAGTTATTGCCCAAAATTTTGTGGATTGTCTATATACACTCCTTTGTGTATAGGTACAATAATTCCTTCGCCAAATGATTCCAGGTACTGACCAGTGGTAAACATGTGGTTAAATAATTTAAGCAGAAAATGTACAATTTGGGCGAATATATGTTAAAGATTCTCCACTGGTTAATCATCATAACCACTACTTTTGTTGTTGTTTTTTGGAAAAAAACACAACTTTTGTTTATTGTTTTGTGAAAAACCACAACTTTTGTTAATGTTTTTTAAAAAAAAACACATCTTTTGTTATTGTTTTGTGAAAAAAACTGCGTTTTTGAGTTTAGTAAAAGAAATCGTTTGATCTAGATATTTATCATTAATAGTCTTGTTTAAAAGAGTTTTTTGCAGACTTGATATTTTTACTGTACATGTATTGATTTGTATTTTTCTCCAGAACTCTAGGAATTGTTTTACTTAATTGCAACAGTCTTCGTTTCTCTTTGT